TTCTAATTCACGGAAGGACTTTTCCCCCTCGTCTTCATCAACCAAATTGTCATCAGCAGTTTCAATTACATTTTCGAGTGGTGGCAATGACGGACCTACTTGTTTACCGAATTATGTTAGTATTGTTTTTGGAAAAAGGAATAAATATATAAAACTATTACCTGAAATCCGAACATCAATGTCTTCGTTTTGTAAAGCTGAGTGATATAGAAATGGATAAATTTCTTGTCGTTTTATAGTCTTAAAAAAGTTGGAATTTGTTTCCAGGCCAGTAATGCTGTTAATTAAGTGTGAACACATTGGCCAACGACTCATCAGGAATCCTCTGCAGCTACATGTCCACCGTGATATATCAGTAACGTGAGAATTTATAAGCACAGTGCGCAAAGAAAGGCTTTTCCATTCTTTTTTCATATCTTTTCTCCATGCAGCAATATCCCGGCCTGACACTATTTGACTGTAGCGCCGTTGGTGATGTGGAAGAAGCCGGTTGATAATTACATATGTAACCAGATCAAGGCGTGGGCGAAAAAACTTTGGTAAAAAATCTCTTTTTATAACTTTCCAGTGAGCTTCAATTAACATTGTAGTCTTGAATAGGCAAATTTTTTCTGGATTTGCTGCTCTGGCCCATAGAATCCAATCTTCTTTTTTGTACCAATTCACCCACATGTATGCCCATACATATTTGAGATTGTGTTGAATACAAAAATCATACATTTCTCGAACAGACAGCAGCCAAAGTTCATTAATTGTTAAAAAATTATTTTCATCGTTTGGTATTAACGGATGGAGGTGAAAATGATAGGAAATTTTGTCTAAAATTGTTTCTCTAAATTCCCTTGGACAGAACCATTGATTGCGGAGGTCTTCATTCATTGTTGCAAAGGGATGGAAATTCGGGTCAATAAACCCGGTTTGTGCACTGGCAAGTTGAGAATTATAGCTGGTCCTTTGGGGGATAGCAGTGTCTGCAAGCCGTTTCTTTACTGCCCTCTTTAGATGCCAAAGACAAAGCTGAATTTTAATTGATGGCCAAGTTTGTTGAGCAGCATTTATTTGTGCTCGATCTTTGTCTGTAAGGAAAAATTCAGTATTTTGTAGTCCACGGTCATGTAATTGTTTAAAAAAATTCGCAAGTATAGCTGTTCGAACTCCGTCATCTTTTTTAGCATTATCCAAAAAAAGATACGCCATAGGATAACCGCTACCATCAATCTGGCCCAACACAGCATACAGTTCGAAACTGAGTGCATTTGTTTTATCTACACAGTTGTAATTACAAGTTAGAGTAAATAAAACATTATAATAAATTGCAAACAATAATAACAATGCTTATTCTTACAGGTTGCGTCAATAATTATCTCGTTATTATTTTTCAAAGAGTCGAAAAATGTTGTTAAAAACCCCACATATTTAACCCCAGAAGTATCATTATGCAATATAATAGTAAAACCGGATTCTTCTAAAAGATACCGCACAGAAGAAAGTTGATCGGTATCCCTTCGATATTGTTGCTGCATCAGATTTGTCCACCAATAATGAACCTGCTTCTGAGTGAGATTCGGATAATTATTTTCTATCGATGCAAAAATGTCTTTTGGTGCGAGGTGTAACTGCTGGCGAATCTGGTCTTTAATTTCTTGCGTTACTCCATTTTTTTCTGGTCGTTGATGAAATATATCGTGATTTAGTTCAAGACTTGCCGTTCTAGAGTTGTAATCTATCTTAATTTTCAATAAACCGTTACACTCAAATCGATGCATCGCTGATATATCACGTTGTTTTTCAACTTCTGAAGTCTTCCTTGGTTTTCGGGATAAGTTTTGTGATTGGGAACAATGGAAGCTGAAAGTAGAAATTTTTTCGCCATGGTACTCTGCAATAAAACTGATGTGAAACCAAATAGTAAGTTTGAATTTATTGTATCAGTATATAAAAATTAATATTATCTTACTTATAAGAATATCCATCACATTCTTCAACGAACTTAGCAATGAATTTTGCTAGCTTCTTAGGACCGTCTTCGCAGGAATCAAAATTATCGATTTTTAAAGCACAATTAAGTTTGAGACCTTGATTACTGTTTTCGAGGAACTCATCATTACTGTTTTCTGATAATATTTGTCTTATTTTTTGTTTAAATTCTGCCTTTTCAAGTTCTTGAAACGGATTCGATCGTTCGGTAAAGCTACTTCCTCTCTGTCTTGCAATACTTTGTGAAGATTGCTCGCGGCATTGAGTACAGGTTTTTCTTAAAGCGCCTTTTGCGGTTTGAAAAAAAGAAATCGGCTTGGATTGAAAGCAGCGGCTGCAAATTTTTTCCTGTTCCATTGCTCGAGTGTAGGTTTCAATGTAGTAGTAGCTGTTTAATAGACACAATTTGTAATCAGAAACTTGGAGTTTTATTACTGATATTTCTCTTACACACTTCGTATTTATATGTTACGGCCAGCGAACAATCGCACGATTTACAATTGGATGATATAACTAGTTCTATATAGTATGGTTAAACTTAAACGGACATCTGAATTCTTCACAAAGTATTAATCATACGATCGATATACTTGGTAATCCTGCAATAATGTAATAAATCATACGATACGATAGTTCGTAATCTTGCAGATACAGTATATCAGAATTGTTAATTTTTCAACAATAACATCAAT